AGGCATGGCAGTATAGTCATGACATGTTTTGGAATGATTAATCATAGAAAATTTATCTATTAATTTAAAAAAGATTATCACTGATGTCATGTCCTAGTCTTGGAGACTACATGCCCTTATGTTTTACTTCTTTTGAGGTAGATATTTATATCATTTCAAAGTAGAGTTCCATAACCTTCATTTTTTTTTTCATTTTTCTACAGATTATCATTATCTTGTCATATAGTAATAGGAGTTTCAATAAAGTGTTTGGTATGGCTGCAATGGAAAAGGAAACATTACATAATAAGATAAGGGAATCTCACATTGTTGCATAATAAGAAACAAATTAATTGAATCCAGGATGCGACTTATCTAAACTGTCTGTTAATCAAAATTTCCTAATGTTACATTTTAAGTGGTAACTCAACTAGTCTCAACTTCTTTCCTAAGAATCAGATGTTTTTGAGTTGGTTGCTATACTCCTGTCAAATACATTTTTATAATACCTAGAACGCATACATAAAACATGGATCTTTCCCAAAGTGTCAGCCAAACGTTTCTGTGTATCTTTAAACTTCACTGCAATTTCAGTAAATAGTAAAGACTGGCTGTATTAGTCTGGGTACTTTAGAGAAACAAATCCACAGCAACTCATGTACAAGAGAGTTTTATGTAAAGAACGTGTGCATCACAAAAACATCCCAAGCCAATGCTGCCCAAGCCCACAAGTCCAACATTAACCCATTAACCCAACACCAGTCCACAAAGTCCTCCACCTCACAAAACAGGCAGTGATGCCGACTGCAGGAGGAAAGCTGAGTCAGTGAATGTGTAAGCATCTCAGCACTAGCAGGGGTCTCCACACGGCTGCTCCAGCACCCAGGGCTGCATCAGGATACGTCCATGTGGCTTCTCCTTGGGGATGTCTTGTAGGAAGTCAATCTTGCAAGCTGAAGCAGGGAGCTGCTAAGGTAGCTGCACCCAATGCAACCATCACAAAACAAGAGACCCGAGAACTAGAAAGGCGAGGCTCACCACCCATTTATCCCTCTGCCTTTCAATTAGCCCCACATGTGATTATCGGCCAGGTTGGCACAATTAACTAACTCACTGGCCAAGTTAGATCTAAGTTCGGCCTCATTCTCCTGCTCTGGTGCTCAAGAAGTGACAGTTGAGGAGAAAACCAAGAATAGGCAACCTCCGTGGAGCTCTGTTGCTTGAACTTCTCATGTCAATTTTAAACATCTTGTGATAAGATCATGGACATGAATTCAAGGGCTGGGGGGCCCTGTATTAATCACTTATATATTACAGGAATGCGATCTCTTCAGGAACCATCTTGTCATATAAATCTGCCCTAAGAACATGAAAGGAAAGAGGAGATTTAAAACTCAAAATGACAATCCCACAATAACGACCTCCCTCAAAGGTTTTGGCCTTTTAAACCAACTCTGTTACAACACACAAAGGAGAAAAAACAAAGGACTGTAACAACAGTTTGGATGCAATTTACCCTACCTTTATCTCTCTCCAAGAAAACCCCAAAGTGAATTCCTAGAGAGAGACTAACCAAACAATTTTAGCTACTTGTCTGAAGACAAGCTGTTTAATGGAAAGAAGAGATCTCATAATTTCTAATTTAGCGGCCACTTTCCCTGTTCCTTTGTATTTACAAGGCCAGAAGGCCGAGGTTTAAACAAAAGTGTAGTGATGGCTACTGTGGTGGTCAGCCTCCAAGATGGCCCCCAGGGATCCTTTTTGATATTCTCCCCTTTGTTGTGACCCTTCCCACAGTGAATAACACTACTCTATGTAACCAACTGGATACTACGGAAAGAGTGTAATATCTGATGCTAGATTTAAAAAAAGACACCATGCTTCTGCTTTGCTCTTCAACATCATATATTTTGGGGGGCAAAGCTCACTGCTAAACCATGAGAACTCTCAAGCAACCCTATGAAGATCATGTGGTGCAGCACTGAGACATCTTGCCTATAGCCATATGAGGGAGCCATCTGGAAGGCAGGTCATCTCGCCCTAGTCAAGCCTTCAGTTGTTACTGCCCCAGTCAATATCTTGACTTAAGTGCTCTCAAATTCATAATCCATGGAAATTGCGCAACGCAAAATTTTGTTGTTCTTTGAGCTATATATTTAGAAGTTAATTCGTTATGCAACAGTAGATAACTAACATGGGACACATCCAGGAGCCCTGGTGGTATAGGGGTTACGAGTTGGGCTGCGATCCACATGGTTGGCAGTTTGAAACCACCAGCAGCTCCTTGGGAGAAAGACTGGGCTTTCTACTCCCATAAACATTTACAGTCTCAGAAACCCACAGGGGTCCCTGTGAATCAGGATTGACTCGATGACAGTGAGTTTGGTTTTGGTTTGTGGAAAAAACATAACATCCAGAATTCAAACCCAAGTTTGCTTTGAAAGGTTGAACTTCCAAAAGGTTGGATATTTACCATGAACAATTTCCCAGTCTTTCCTATTTTACTTCTTAAAAGAATTCTATTTGCATCCCAGGTAAAGATGGGGCCATCAAACCCTTTAGTGTCAGTGATATAATATGCGCCTTTACTATTGTTGGACAAGTTAAGTCTTGGTTACAATCAAAAGTCTTCGAATACCTATGTCGATTTTCCAGGTATTCTTTTAAAGTATCTCTGAAGAAGCCTGATTTATACTTTATGGGTTGTTATTTGTGCTCAGATTCCTCATGGAATCTTTTATCTTGTGCGATATTAATGTGTACCATCCCACTTCATTTGTCTCTTCTCCTGTCCCTCGTCTGAAACCATTTTAGTGTTTAATTTTAATTTCCTCCGGAGGAAAAATTAGTGAATTGTTTCTGAATTACCCTTCACTAGAATTGCAAATGATTTTAATAACTACTTCAAAATTCTACCCAAAAGTTTTATCCCAATCTCAGTGCATAAGTCATAATTCTCTTTTCCTTCCTCCAATGTCATTTCAACCCTGGGGAAATAATCCTTTTTCTTTCATAAAGAAACAAATAACTGTAACCCATGATCTAGGTGGCATGAGTCATTCTTGACTAAAGAACACTTCAACTCAACTTTTGGACCTGAATGTCCTTATAGTGAAAATGGGGCCTTCTTTGATCAACAGAATGCTTACTTACTTGGAGGTAGAGCACCTGCCCCTTTGAGAAGTGTCCTGCTCGCTCTCACTTAAGGCAGCGGTTCTCAACCTGTAGGTCGTGAGCTCTTCAGGGGTCAAATGACCCTTTCACAAGGGTCGCCCGATTCATAGCAGTAGCAACATTACAGTTATGAAGTAGCAACAAAGATAATTTTATGGTTGGAGGGTCACCACCACACGAGGAACTGTATTAAAGGGTTGCGGCATTAGGAAGGTTGACAACCACTGACTTAAGGTATCTTCAGCTATGAAGACCTGAATTTTCAAAACATAAAATAAGAGGTAATTCTTTGTTTAATGGAATATTGGCGATAGGATGTATTTAAATAGTATTAGCTCTGGAACTCTATTTATAAATACTTGTTTTATATACAATAGGTTAAATATCTCACAGACATGTGAGTCCACATATTTTATCTTGCAAAAAGTCTGTTGCCTTTTTAAAGATTCTACAAGGAAGGAATACCAGTTTGTTTAATTATTTGATATGTGCTCATATTTCCCAAATAAGCTGTTCTTTTCATTGTGGTCATTCCAGCTATGAAATCATCAGATGTCCAATATATCAAGGCTTCTAACTCCTTAGAGGGATGGCTTGGCAATTCACCTTGAACTTCCTTTTAGAACATATAGACCCCTGCCATTTTACATATATTTTATCAACTTCTGTCAAAAGACTGAATTAAATTTGTATTCAAATTTAATATATATACTGTTATTAATTGAAATCAAGTACACATATCAGGCAGTTTACTTCTAGTATGTTCACAATGTTGTACAACCATCAGAACATTTTCACCACCATAAAAGGAAATCCTGCACTATTATTAAATAATCATTCTCCATTTCCCTTTTCCCCAGCCCTTGGTAACAACTAATATTTCTATCTATGGATTTACCTATTCTGAATATTTCATATAAATGGAATTCTTTAATATGTGTTCTTTTTATGCCTGGATCCTTAGCACAATATTTTCAAGGTTCATCCAAGTTATAGTGTCTATCGGTGCCTCATTTCTTTTTATGATCTCCCATCCTGTGGACATACCAATTTTTTTTCAATCCATTCGTCTGTTTGCCTGGGGTCATTTCCACCTTTTGGCGATGTTAACGGTGCTGCTCTGAGAAAAAGGATGATGTACGTGTTTTTGTGTGACCACCTGCTTTAAATTATTCAGGGTATATATGAGGGGGATTCAAAAAATTCATGGAAAACATCCATGACCTTTCCATTAAACTTTTCCATGAATTTTTTTTAAATCCCCTCATATTCAGGAGTGAAATTGCTGGGTCATATGGTATGGAAGATAAGATTTTAAATGAAATATTACTTAACCAATAAGAGGTCCATATTGCTATTTCTCTTTTGTTAGGTTAACAAACTTCATGGGAAAGGTAGTACGGGAGTTTATTTCAGGAGACTCTGATATGCTATCATCTACCCACATGAAAATTAACTGTCTTTTGTACAATTTCCCACTGATACAAAGGCAGTTGAAGGTACTCAACTCAGCCGTATGCTGGCATAGGCTTTTAGAGAATAACAATTATATAGACAAGCAGCTAAAGTGCTTCTAGAAAGCTCTGCAGTCACAGTGACTTCAGTTCAACCCCAGATGGTTGTCCTTGGGCAACTTGCTAAACGTTTTGTTCCCTAGTTTCTTCATAGGTAAAATGGGGTAATACTACTTTTCAAGATTGTTATGAAAAAGAACACAGCCTGGAACATAGCTGGCATTTAATAAGAATTAGTTGTCCTGTAACATATAATTAATTAATATGTCCTTATGCTGGCCAAATGAATTTTATTCTCCAAGACATTATTTTTCTTCCCCTTTTGTCTTTCAGGTTAAAATTAAACTGCCGAAAACAAACCCATCTGACATTAAAATGGATATCCAGGAAATGATTCTTGACCTTCGTACTCCTGATAAGTGAGTAGCGCTTAAGATTGGAATCGTGTGTTATTGAACATTATTTGAATATTCATGATTTGAAGATTATTACTGAATATTCATGACTCTTTAGTCAATATTCCTTTAAAATATATACATGGTTATTCTGCACCATTCTCTAAGAATGTCTGCCTCTTTATGTTGCAAAACAGAGAAGAAAACTGAAAAAGTCAGTTAACCATTTAGATGCCTAATTTACACCATACAAACATCAATGTGTTTGGAAATGCCTAGGTGATTTTTCTATTTTGCACTCAGATATTTAGAGTGGGTTGATCCCATCGAACACAATTCTTGACAGTCATGTGAAATTTGTCAATAATAATGGCTAGTGATGAAAACCAGTCTTATATGTAGTTTTGTACATTGACGCCATAAAAGCAGCAATATCTGAATTTTGTGAACATTAGAAATAAAATCTTTAAATTTGGTGCACATTCTGGGGCACTAAGGTTACATTTGATTATATTCATCTCAAAAATCCACATAAGGTTGTGTCATCAATGGTTTAACATGAACATCCTAACAGCCAATTTCTCACTAGGTCTTCAGGTTGTGAAATAATACAGATGATCGTAGAGGCGCTTTTAGTTAAATGTCTTGATATTTCCAAATAAAATTTTGTTGTTACACAGGTTTAAATTATGTCCCTGAAGCAAAATATACTCATATATAGTAAAATTCTGATAAAAATACTTATCCTCGAAACATGTATAAGTCAGACCTGTCTTTTAAAACTCTAGGGAGCCCTGGTGGCATAGTGGTTATGCATTGTGCTGCTAACTATGAGGTTATCAGTTTGAAACCACCAGTTGCTCTGCAGGGGGACAATGAGACTTTCTACTTCTGTAAAGAGCTGCAGTCTTGGAAAAGCACAGGGGCAGTTTTCCTTGTCCTATGGGGTTCCCATGAGTCAGGATTGAATTGATGACAGTGAGGGTTTTGTTTTGTTTTGTTTCTTAGCTTGGAGTGTGTTAGAAAAAATAGCTAAATTCCTGATTGCTTTGTTCACTTTTCATTTGAAGGTATAGCAGTAAGTACACATTGGTTGAATCCAGCAATCCTTTTGCTGTAGCTCATGACATTTCTTCCTGCTAGGAGCAGGCGGCTGCCAGCACATTCCCCTCCTATCATTAGCAATAGCTATACTTCTCCTTTGTTGCTCTTAGGACTTCAAGAAAATAAAAAGCAAATCCTTCCTACAAAAGATGTGCAATGTACATAGCTTAATCTTGAATTCCACCATAATGCATTTAACCCTAAATTCTCTTCTGATGAATATTTGCATATCAAATGATTCCTCATCATTTCTATAATTACAAAGATGTGTTATCACACACAAAATTGCTCCGGATAAAAATTACATTCACTAGCCCTCTACCATTCACTTTAAGGAGTACCATGTCTTTTTCATTGCATAATATACGTGCATTTGATTTTTTTCACAAGGCAAGTTAGCCAAATGAACAGTCAATCTTTTATGGTATTTACACACTTGTTAAAAGCATACACATATCTACACCAGGGAGTTAATTTCCGTTTCCCTACCAGTTCTTCCTGTCTCCATCCATCTTCAGGCAGCTGCTCTGCCCAGGCTGTCATTCCAGATGTCTATCAGAACCCACTAAATGAAAGACTCACAGAAAGATACTTTTCCACACAGAAACCTGGCTGTACTAGGACAGCTGGTTCATGCTGTACTGATATATTAAATACTCAATGCAAAGAAATACTGTCTCTTAAGAAAGCTTCCTTAATTAAGGAAGAAGACAGGAGATAGAAGATTGAATTAAGGCTTTTGTAATTTTTTCTAAACATTTGAACATCCCTTGGAATCATGTTATTGCCAGAAGTGTATTATCAGATATATATCTTATTGTTTCATTTACTTGATATTCCTATTTATGTCCTTTAGTTTTGGAGGAGCCTGGTGGCATAGTGGTTAAATGCTCTGCTGCTGACCCAAAGATCAGGAGTTCAAACCCACCAACTGTTTGTGGGGAAAAGATTTGGCAAAGATTGCCGCCTTGGAAACCCTATGGGGTAGTTCTACTCGGTCCTATTGGCTCCATGAGTTAGAATGGGCTCAATAGCAAGGGTTTGGTTTGTGTGTGTGTGTGTGGGGGGGGGGAGTTCTCTTTGTTTTTCTACCTTGACATATCCTGTAACACTATGTTTATTGTTATGTACCTCCCCATTCCAAGATTTCAGAGGGGACAAGGCAGAAGAAGTGAAATTATTTGCACTAAATTGACTAGTCATATATGTCAAACAATAGTTCATTGCATTAGAATTATCAACAAAACTCAAATATTTACCATTACATAACCAAAGAAATAAATGAGTCCACTAAAGTCTCCCCCTGCCTTCAACCAGTTGTTTTGCCATGTAGAGTCCCAACAAGGTGTTGACAGGAAGGAGAATGATTGATAAAACTGGATAATTTCGAATTAAAGTGCAGGAGGAGGTTTGCAGACGAACCTAGGCGAACCTTGATTGATGCCTAAATTGTAACTTTTAAAAAATCAGTTATCAATATATAAAGTTGAGGAAGAAGCCCTGGTGGCACAATAGTTAATCACGTAGCTGTTAACCCAAAGGTTGTCTGTTTGAACCCACCAGCCGCTCCATGGGAGAAAAGCCCTGACATGCAGATTCATCTAGGAAACTATGGGGCAGTGAGTTCTACATTATCATATAAGATTGCTGAGTTGGAATCAACGGCACACAAAGACAACAAAGACAAAGGGATCGTGTCTAATGTTTATTCATATCTTACAATAATACTCGGTAGTAATTAGTCAAATGTAATTTTGTGGTGATTTGAATATTTACTTTTCATTTACTGATTTCATTCACTCCATCAAGTTTTCTGCTGACACTGGAGGGAAACCAAGACAGATACAGTCCTATCCTTCAATAAACTGTACAAGGCAAATTATTTGTACAATTTGATTTTGTTTAAATATAAATCTTTGTTCAGATATCAAACAGTAAAGCAGACTGGACAAAAACACTCCCTCTCCCCCTAAGAGCTTAATAGGCTGCACAGCTTCTATTGTTCAACAATTTAGTATGTGAAGCCATACAACGAAGGACTAGACAGAAATGCAGGGGTAGATGGATCATTCCAATGGCCACCAACTGTCTCTCTTGAATTTATTTCTCTCTAGACAGAGAAGTGCACATTATCATTGGAACTCCTTCTTCAGCTGATTTATAGTTATCTTTTAGTGCAAGTTACTGCCACTAAACTATGCTTTCTTCTTAAAGTGAATATATTATCATTTATAGAATAAAGAACAAAACACATCTAACTGCTAGCACAATCTATACTGTAAATAGTTTTAAAAAGATGGACTCTGGACATTTATTTTTTGGTGCCCACTTCTTTTTGAGATGCCAAATGTCACAAGCTACATTAAGAATACTTGCTATTGCCTTACTTTAGGTGGAGGGAGCCATTTCTCTGACCTCCAATATTTGGAATGGAACAAGGGTCACATAAAAATTCTCCTTTAGGTTCCAGAGATTTGTAATAAATACTTTTAATGAGCTCAGTCTCTTGAATTTAGGACTTTGCAAATGAATAAAGGTGGAATACATGTTCAAGAGTTTTGTTCTCAAATGCCAGTTCTCTATTCATTTACTCAATAAGTACTCCTTAAAAATACTGTAGTCTTGCACTGATGTGGATCTCCTGGCTTATTTTTAGTCCACTTTTTATAGGGATGTTCAGGCCTTCTCTACCAAGAATGCGAGATAACAAGTGTCTCATGCATTTAATTTCCTTCTGATGCCAGCATGTGCCCACCCCATGCATAATTCAAACTCAGGGTACTATGCCAGAATTATGGATGTCTTGTCCCCAGCACTGTATCTAAAGCATACACCTACCCAGCAACTGAGCTATAAACTGCAAAGTAAACCCAGGAAGCCATCACAGAGAATTGTTGTCAATGTACTGTATTACAGAAAGAACCAGAGAGGAGCACTTTCATGGATTTGTTCTTGTAATTATTCCAAACCTGAGTTTCAGTAACTACACCTGTGATAGAGGTGTACTTACTGAATCTGTGACAGCAAAAGTTTCATGGTACCATTCCAGTTTTCAGGTATCAATCAGCCATTCCAGCTACAAATGAATATTACTGGCAACAGATCTGTCCAACCAACTCATGCTTACAATGGTTCTATTTCTATGCCTATAAACATAGCTTGAGATCAGACACATACAATGTCAAATGAGGACAACTTAGATAAAAAGGGAAATTTTAAAACTTTCAAATGTTGTAATTTTGAAGGTCTGACCACTATTATACTATTTGTGTTATTCAAGCATATGTTATGCAATACTTATACGATTAAATATTGGGATTTGTTTTTTGTTTGGCATTTTTAAAAACATCATTCATTCTGATGGCATATGTGGTTTTCTACTGTCTTATCAAAATTAATATATTCTTAATTTGACTTTAGGAAACTGATTCTAGGTTCTTGTTTTGTTTTTGTATTTTCAGGAAACTACTGTTACCTCTTCCTCATCCTGTTGAATGCAATAGTGCCAAAGCTGTCTATCTCCCAGAACTTGAGATGCTCGAAGTCACCATGCCCATGAAAAGAGAGTTGGATTTTGTTAATTTTGCATGAAACTAAATAAATCAAGAAGAGAAGTGATCAAATGGCACTGTTGAAAACTTTAAAAAAAATTTAATAAGAGCTCTCTGGATGTTTTCTGTAGTTTTAAAAACTGCACAGGCATATTTTTTGACAGGTCCCACATTCAATTCTAGTGTTATTCTCATCATTTATAGTTATATCACTCGGTTAAGAAATACTGTTTTCTCATACTAATGAAATACTGTTTTCTCACAGTAATGAGCAATTCAATTTTTTTAATAGCTGGATAGAGTAGTTAAAGGTGAACCGATTACTGCATAGTCAATTAAATAACTGAAATATGACCGTGAAATAGTTGGTCTATTAATTTCAGTATCCTGAAGAACCAAATACACTCAGTTATACTATATGCATCCAGTTACATAGCAATTCGGTATTATTATCATCAGAAGGACTTATTTGATTGACTTTTCATTGATTCGATCAAATGTTGTTCTAGAATATGCAGGTAGCAAAAGATTATAATTAGTCTGATGCATCATACTGACCACCTGAATATGAAATACTTTTGAACACACAATATTATTTGATTTCCACAGTCCTACTTTCAATGCTTGGATCTAGTTAGGTTAAAAATTATTTTCCTTAAGTACTCTAATAATTATTAATAATGCCTTCTGTGGTACTGTGTTTATATTTAGTCACTTGAAATCCTTGACATTTAAAAGAAACATAAAGAAAAGTCTGATACACTTACAAATCTTGTTCTCTCATTTTCCATCTTTCCTCTTAATTGGAAAAACTTATTTTTGTGAATTGTGCCAATGCCCCCTGCCTCTTTTGTACTGTATTACATGGTTTTAATTCTGAGTAGTTTATGAAGAATCATATTGTCAAGGTTGTGGACTTGATCTCACACATCATTGTAGAACTGTGGGGTTATCTCAGCATATGTTTTGGAAAGAGTTGAACAACTAAAAGATATTTATTTCGATGTGGAATATTAAGGGACTACATATTCAAATATTTTGTAGAGGTAATTACGTAGATAATTACCAAGGCATAGAGTTTGTGACTAGAACAAATCGAAGGAAGCAACTGAGATTTGGGGGCAAATTCTTATGTTAAAACAATAAGCTATTGTACAGGATTTAAAATGTAAATTTCCTCCATGACCGTCTTTTATTGGAGGCTGATGTTGAAGATGGGATTAACTGAAAGGAAGCTAGTGAATTGGAATCCATTATATTATAGGATCAAAATCAAAAGGGAGTCTTACTTTGCTTTCTTTATGACCTTAGCGTCTTTTTAAAGGCTGTGTTTTAAGAATTTAGGATTACATCCTAGAGCATAAACTCTGGAGCAAACCGAAACAGTCACCAATATTTCTTCTCCAGAGAGGAGCCGTGAGTCAGTGGAAAAGGTCTTTTTTTCCTATGTACTGGCCCTAATTACAAAGACCATTATTACTCAAGCTGACTGAATCTGTACAAGTTGTCCCTGGAAGAAAAGACAGGGCAGATCCAGGCCAACTTGAATTGGGCTTTTGGTTATGTGATGCTCTATCAATTATATAATGAACCAGAACCCCAAGAACAATGAAATGGGAAGCAGAAATCTAAAACATCACTCGACTTCACTGTCTTTGGCCTCAGAAGGAACAACCACATTGGTTTTGCTGTTGTTTTGCTTTTCAGCTAATTCACAGGATTTTCTTTCTTTAAAGAGAATAGCCCACTAACTCGAATATAGAAACGAGAATCCATGGGGACATTGATCTTGTCAGCATTTTTTCCCAGTGAATCAGCCATTACAAAGAGGACGGTACATTAAAGCCACAACTGTGGTATAGCATTAGTCTACATGAGAGTATCGGCAAAACCAAACCTAGTCTGGGGACGGGGCGGCGTGGGGAGGGGTGTTTGGCAGAAAACTCTTCCCCAAGGAGTCAACACTTCCGCTGAAATATGAAGGATGCTCAACAATTAGCCAGGCAAAGAGAGTCTTGGTGGAAAAGGGAAGATATAAGGCTTCTACTGCAAAACCAAACCCCCTGCCAATGAGTCGATTCTGACTCAGAGCAAGCCTATATCAGGTTACTAAGACTGTAAATCGTTATGGGAGAAGACAGCCTCGTTTTTCTCCTGTGGAGCAGCTGATGGATTTCAACCACTGAACTTTCGGTTAGCAGCCCAACACCTAGATGCAAGGGAGCAGCAAATGTGAAAAACTCAGGATGAGAAGAACTTAAAGAGATCAAGGAGATGAAAGTTACTGTCCGTGAGGTAGAGTAAGCCTGGGACGATATGCTGAAGTCGAAGTTGGGCATGTAGGTTGGGGCAATGCCCTTATAGATGTTTGGAGGTTAAGGTAAAGAGTTATTCTAAGTGTTTGGGGCAAGAGAATGTATTAGGAACTGGGGAGACCAGTTAGGAGACTACTGTCATAGCAAGTTATTCCATCAGCCCACACTGCCTATAGGATCACTCTGAGTCAAGATGGACTCAATGGTAGTGAGTTTGAGGCTTTGTAAATTTTCACTGGGGCAGACAGCCTCAACTTTCTCCCCCAGAGAAGTGGGTGGGTTTGAACCACTAGCTTTGTGGTTAGCAGCCCAATGCTTACCTGACATCATCACCAGAGTTCCTCAACCAAGTTATAATTCCACCAAAAACAAAGAAAAAAAATAAAAACCTTTTGCTCCCTAGTCAATTCTGACATATGACCCCATATGAAAGAGAGTAGACCTGCACATCATAGGGGTTTCATGGCTCTGACCTTTCAGGAGAACTTGCCAATCCTTTCTTTTGAGGTACCTGTGGATGGATTTAAATTGTCAACTTCTGGATGAATGGCCAAGGAATCCTTTATGCCTCCTCGGGACTTTATTATTCTACATGTTATCCTAAATAAGATCATTGTTGTTGTTGTTGTTTATCTAATTAGAAAAAATACACGCTCTAAGCAGGATACTTTCAACAATTTAGAAAAGATCTTCTAAGATAAAGCACAACGAAAAATCACCTATAAGTCAACTAACCATAAATAGCCACTCTTAAAATTTTAATATCTCTTTCCACACAAAAACATAAATTTTTTTTCCTAAATGGGATCTTAGACAAACTGGTTTTATATAGCCTATCCTATTTTAAATCCGCAATGTCGTCTTACTTTTATATGTTTTTTATTTCTAAATTTTAATTGTATTGTATTGTGGTAGAAGAAGGTGTTAAATGACCTATATATAATAGAATAGAATAAAAATTTCAGATTTGTTGGATACAAAGTTCTAGATATGTCAATTAAAGATTTTTAATTAGGTTTTTCAAATTTTCTTCATCCTTAATTTTTCATCTGCTTTACCTATGAGCACGGAGAGAGGTTTATTAAAATTGACCACTGATTATAGATTTGGCAGTGTCTCCTTGTAGTCATGTCAATGTTCGCTTTATTTACTTTGAGGGTATATTTTTAGATTCAGATAGATTTAGAATGGTGTGCACTGGGCTACTTACTGCAAGGGCAGCCATTCAAAACCACCAGTCGCTTCTTGGGAGAAAAATTGGGCTTTCTGCGCCCATCGAGTTACAGTCTTGGGAACCCACAGGGACAGTTCTAGTCTGCCCTATAGCGTCCCTATGAGTCGGCACAAACTCGATGTAATAAGTTTGGGTTTGTTCTTGTTCTTGATGATCTTTCCCTTTAATCAGTATGCTATGATTCTCTTTACTTCTACTATATATATTTTTTGCTTTAAAGTACATTTTGCTCAACATTAATCTAGCTACATCAAGTTTGCAAAGTGTTTGCCTGGCATGTCTTTTCTGGTCACTTTCCATAACCGTATGTTTCAGGTACGACTTTTATGAACAGTATTTGGTTAAGTTTGGAGCTTAATATCCAATCAAAGTTCTGCTTTCAATCTCAAAAGTGTGTGCTTGATGATACACTCAGATTTGTTTACATCACCTTGCTTTAGGCTGTGTCTTTTGTTCTTCTTTTTCTGTTTTTTTCCTCCTCCCCCTTTCTCTCCCTCTAAAGCGTCTTCTCCCACCCCCCAGCTTGAAAGGTATACATTCTCTTTCTATCTTATAAAAAGCAAAACAAACTTAAAATGTGTAGAGACTCAATCGTTCTACCCTTCGTGAAAACAATTACACCTGCTCCTCTCTTATCATCTACCGTCTCATTATTTGACATTTCACATTTATGATAATAGTAAAAGTACACTACCCAACTTTTTTTTTGCGTTAATGAGAAGCTGAGGCAGAAGGAGGAGTGTGAAGTTTGTGAGAGGGAGCGAGGCTGGGTGGCTTCCTGGCGGTTCATATTACCCAGGTTAGGTAGATGAGTTGGGAAAGGCAGGTGGTTCACAAGAATTGGCGCTGCAAGAGTCCGGGGTGGGAGTGTGGGGAGAGGGCTTGGAAGTCTCTTCTTTCAAAGAGACCTCTCTGTCACCTGTGCAGTCTCTGCCAGGTCAGATGAACAAGTTTCACCTGCTCATAAGCCCAAGAGCCACCTGCCACTGAGGCCCATCTCTGGGATTGGCAGAGCAGAAGGGTGAGGGGCTCCACGTGGTGACCAGGTGTGCGGCCAGGTAATGATGATTCCCTGAGTGGGTTTAAGGATTTATAAAATTTTAACCCAACAATACCCCTTCCACTTGTTTTTATTTGCTCAAAGTAGTGACCATTGTTATCAGTGTTTTATACAGTACATGCTTGTTCAGGTCTCCCCACATTTTGACCAGTATCTTTGCTCATTATACCTTTATCAGTACTTCCTTTCTGAAATACCTACTTCAGAAGTTATTTCAGCAAGTATTTTCATTGCCCTAGCTCTTGAATAATAATTTAACTGGGTTTCAAAATCTAGGTGAGCAGTTATTTTCTCTCAGAATTTGGAAGATACTGATTCAGGTGTGTATTGTGATAGGAAGGTCTGCCTCATTGTTGTTCCTTTGTAAGTAATCTGTCTTTCTAGTCGTTTTGTAAGAGTTTTCTTTTTGTCTTTGGAGTTCTACAGTTTGACTATGATATTTCTGCATATATAGTCAT